TTTGCTTTATTTGTGTATGTTCTGTTAGTTTGGCCTGTTGGAATCCTAAATACTTGTAGAACTCGCCCTCTTCCATGGATTCAATAACGTCTCCATTTCCAAGTGCAAAATCTTTCTTCAGGATTCCTTTTTCTATGTGAAGTGTTTTGCATTTGTCTAAGCCAAACTCCATTTGTATGTCCTTAGTGTATGAATGTATGATTTGTAGGATTTGCTGAAGTTGTTTTTCTGTGGATGCGTAAAGTTTTATGTCGTCCATGTACATGAGATGTGACAGTGTAAACTGTGTTGTTTTTTCATGTCTGATATTGTAGCCATAATGTGTGTTGTTTAACATGTTGGATAATGGGTTCAGGGCTAGGCAGAACCAGAGCGGACTCAAGAATCTCCTTGAAAAATTCCTCGCCTAATGAATATCTCGTTTGTGTGGAAGTGTTACTAACCCTGAGATGTAGTGTTGTTCTCCAGTGCTGCATAGTGTTTTGGAAGAATGCAATGAGTGACAGATGAATTTTGTACATGTGTAGAATATGTAGCAGCCAACTGTGTGGAACACTGTCAAATGCTTTTCTGTGGTCTATATATGTCATGTGTATGTTTCTGTGTTGTTTGTGTGCTTGTTGTAGAATGACTGAATCTGTGAGTAACTGTTCTTTGCATCCCCTGTGATTTCTATGGCAACCTTTTTGTTGTTCTGTAAGAATGTTGTGTTCTTCAACATGTTTGTATATTTTGTTTGTGATACAGTATGTCAATAATTTGTAGAGTGTTGGTAGACATGTAATTGGTCTGTATTGTGTGCGGTCTGTGGTGGTGGTGTTTTTAGTTTTCATGTAGGTGATGCCCTGAGTAAGAAATTTTGGCATGTCTTGTGGATTGATGATGATGTGTGTAAGATGTTTAGCTAGTTCCTGGTGCAGTAATGTAAACATTTTGTAACAGAAATTGTAAATGTTGTCTACACCAAGTGTCTTCCAGTTATGTGTTCTGTTAACAGTGTAACGGATGTCGTATACATTTATTTCAGCACAGGTCATAGTTGGTATGTTGTGCAAGTTTCTGTTCTCTCTTCGATCCAACCTGCATCAGCATTGTGTTTAACAGCATTGGACCAAAGGAAGACCAATAGGTTGTGAGTTCTTCTTCTGTTGGTGTGCCACTGTGCTGTGTATCAGTGTTTGTTTTGGTACTGATTTGTCTGTAGGAAAGTTTTTCATTGTTTGTGAATAATTTATTTTGTTGTTTTCGTAATGTACANGACCAATAAGTTGTGAGTTCTTCTTCTGTTGGTGTGCCACTGTGCTGTGTATCAGTGTTTGTTTTGGTACTGATTTGTCTGTAGGAAAGTTTTTCATTGTTTGTGAATAATTTATTTTGTTGTTTTCGTAATGTACATGTTTTGTATCTTTTCAGTCTACATGCTTTGGCTGCGAGTTTCTGTGTAGTGTATTGATGTATTCTGTAATGTGTATGTTGTGATGTTCATGTTTTGTGTGTGTGTTGATTTTCTTGAAAATGTGTTTGAGTTGTTTGTTTAATTTAGGTGTTATGTTGTTTTTAGTGTACAGGTAACCCCCGTATAACACGGCACTTCTATAGCACGGATTCGCTCTAACACGGTTTGAGAATTGGTACCATCCCCCGTATAACACGGTACTTTTATAGCACGGATTCACTCTGACACGGTTCGAGAATTGGGTAAAACTCTCGTACAACAGGAAATGTAATAAATTTTTACATACATAACTAATAATAGTTCACGAAAATTATTATTTTCGTGAACTATTAGTAATTAAGTACGTAAATTTTCTCTTCTCGCCTTCTGTCGATACAGGTGGTCCTTCTCGAAACTTGTTTCAATGTTGCCAGATCGCGACGCTTCTGCTTCTGATGTTGCCAAATGTTTTTCCCTTATTCCATACTTGCTTTATTCTTCATAAGTGCTTAGCATCGTATAAGGAAATTTATAAAGACCTTTTAACTAGAAGCGAGCAATCTAAAATTACATACACTTTTTGCAAAAGGTAAAGCATGATCTGAAGATAATGCAGAAAAATGCTCAGAGGATAAGGATAACTTGCCAAAAAGAAAACGCTCTCAGTTAATTAATAGTGTTTTTAGTGATGACGAAGAAAACATTGTTTAATTTATGTTAATATGTATCACTTAAGAAAATTTTAATGAAGATATTTATCTTAATTATGAAAATATACTAGCGTGTTTTTTAATTTTTGGAACCTAACCCTCCTTTTCGTATTAGTTCTTTGTTTCGTATAACACGGATTCGCATAACACGGCAATTTTTTGGAACGTAACTACCGTGTTATACGGGGGTTACCTGTATTGTGTCAGCCTGCCTAATTGCTGTCTAATGCCATTTATTTATGTTTCTATTCTTCTCTGCCAGGCAGGCTTGTGATAGAATTGTCTTGTGTGTGTCTGTCTGCGATTGTATTTTCAGTCCATGGTGTGTCACTACTGTGACTGCCCCAGCATAAATTAATGTATGAATGTCTGAGAGTGTAGAAATTGAATGAATGTAGTGTGGTAGTGAGTGTTTACATAATTTAGTGTTTTCCCTACTACCTTTGATGTGTTGATTTTCGGTATTCGTGGTCTTTATGTGGGATCTGTACCTGTATATTTAGTGAGTGTTTTCTGAAATATAAGTGAGAGTGTATTAACTAATTCTATGTCTATATTATCAGTGATGGATGAGGAAGTGCCTGTAGTATCATTAGTGGTAGTTGTTGTATGTGTGCTATTATCTATGCTTGTTGCTGGATTATCCTGACAGGTTACGTGATCTTCATTATTGTTAAATGTTTCTGTCTGCTGATGTATTTGATCAGCAACCTGTTGTTTGATAAGTTCAAGTGTTGTTTGTGGGATAAGGTTGTTGTGTATAATTGTTTTTTTGTTTTTTTTTGATCGACAACCCTTTGTTCGGTGACAGTGAGGTGAGGATATTGTTGTGTGAATCTATGGTGTGTAGTTGTTGTCTGTACGCTGTCATGTTTGTTTCGAGTCTTGTGATGGTGTAGTAAGTACGGATGATAAACTCATTCATTTCTATTGTCCATTTCATCTGTTGGCATGGTTTTCCAGCCTTTGTGGTCTGTGGGTGCATTGCAACAGAAACACCAAGGCTAGGTTGATTCCTCACATCTGTTGAGGGCATTGCAGTAGCCATGCTTGGGCCGGCGCTGCTTTTGCTACTGGTAACCAAGGGAGACTGCGGCCTATTTTTCGAATGTGAGCCTCTGCCTAACCCACTAACACAGACCTTGTTAGCCCAGGCGACATCCGAGCTGGTATCATACTTAGATCTGGTTACTACCATGATAAATATCTCCACAGAATGTGGGTGTGGTCACTCTTAGCTTCATTTCTCCCCATAGGCCTTACTGGAATGGGTGTCCCTACCAGGAGCTTTTGCTCCAGCCTGCATTGCTCTATGGTTCAGTAAAATTACTGGGCTCTCCCACCACAACCAGGTGGTGACCATGGGAGACTTATTATTATTATTTGTATTGACTATTATTTTGAGTTGATTATATTTTCCTTATTTGGATAAAAAACTATCAGGAAATTATTAAAATCTAAATTTATTTTAAGTAAGATATATTTGTATCAATGTTGTTTTAATGCATTTCAATTACTTTTATAGTATCATACAGGGATAAGTGCGAAAGTAATGCTCAGTGTCAAGCAACTGATGAAAATATGATATGTAGTTATAGTTCATGTGCCTGTAATATGAACTATATATATGTGAAATCAATCAGAGAGGGAAGAAGAAAATGCAACAGAAAAGGTAAAATTTGTAATATACATATATATTTTTTTCTTTGAGATCAATTCTTATTCTTAAAAATTTGTAATGTATATAGTAATAATTTCAAACTAGTGATTCAAAATACAAAATTCAGTTGATTCATTTTATAGTCATTTTTAATTAAGCAAATCACAGTATAATGATTAATGGAGAAAGTCCCAGCCAATTTCCTATACAGGTAACCCCCGTATAACACGGTAGTTACGTTCCAAAAAATTGCCGTGTTATGCGAATCCGTGTTATACGAAACAAAGAACTAATACGAAAAGGAGGGTTAGGTTCCAAAAATTAAAAAACACGCTAGTATATTTTCATAATTAAGATAAATATCTTCATTAAAATTTTCTTAAGTGATACATATTAACATAAATTAAACAATGTTTTCTTCGTCATCACTAAAAACACTATTAATTAACCGAGAGCGTTTTCTTTTTGGCAAGTTATCCTTATGCTCTGAGCATTTTTCTGCATTATCTCCAGATCCATGCTTTACCTTTTGCAAAAAGTATGTAATTTTAGATTGCTTGCTTCTAGTTAAAAGGTCTTTATAAATTTCCTTATATGGTGCTAAGCACTTATGAAGAATAAAGCTAGTATGGAATAAGGGAAAAACATTCGGCAACATCAGAAGCAGAAGCGTCGTGATCTGGCAACATTGAAACAAGTTTCGAGAAGGACAACCTGTATCGACAGAAGGCGAGAAGAAAAAATTTACATACTTAAGTACTAATAGTTCACAAAAATAATAATTTTCGTGAACTATTATTAGTTAAGTATGTAAAAATTTATTACATTTCCTGTTGTACGAGGGTTTTACCCAATTCTCGAACCGTGTCAGAGTGAATCCGTGCTATAAAAGTACCGTGTTATACGGGGGATGGTACCAATTCTCGAACCGTGTTAGAGCGAATCCGTGCTATAGAAGTGCCGTGTTATACGGGGGTTACCTGTATTTATAAAATAGCATTATGCTTATAACATCTTCATGTCTTGTTAATTGTAATAGTTAACTTTGTAAAAGTCAAAACAAAATTTCATTAGTGCACCCTTTTAGAATATTTTTTTAATCAATTACACATTTACACATTTATTTTATGTAGAATAAATGTATTTCTTTTTTATAATGAATAAAAAGAGAAATATTACAATGTGTAAATATAAAAAACTGCTATTTTTTCCATAAAGCTATGATGATAAAGTGCATATACATATGTAGACTTTAGTTATTTATCATTTCTTTTATTTGACTAATTAAATATTAAAAACAAATTTATGTAGTAATATTTTTCTGTACTTTTTAAATTACTATAAGTAAGACAAAACCTTTCACACTTTGTTTCTAGCAGTTTAATCACTAAGAACAAATGTTTTCGGCTGTTTTGAACCTGAAGTAGGCAATTCAAAACAGCTGAAAACTATTCCCGCTTCCTCAGCTATTTACTTACAAATATAATCACACACCAAACACTTGCTGAGCTTATTATTAATTTACTATTGTTCGAAGCTTTGTATTCGATAGTAGAACACTGCGGTAAACAGCACAAGTCCAATGAGAACCTCACGGTTGCCATATAGGTTTTACAAAAAGTAGGCTAAAGCAGAATTCCTCAAAATGTAGCCCAAATTATTTTTAAAGTGGTCCAATAGTATGTTTCCCAAATGTAGTAGCCTAGAGTCTACAAATATCTCAATCTGCTACTTATAGCCCAATCTTGCAATCCTGAAAACCAGCCATATTTTATGAGATAATAGAGGAAAAAAGTGTATTCCTTGGGTAAGATGAAAGGTGACATCCAAAAATGTGTTACTGTAAAAGCCATATTGACCAGATTAGAGTTGTTCTTAATCTGTTGTTCTCTTAAAGCATGAAGTCACTTCAATACAAATGAATGAGTTAACATATGCATATCACAGTTTGGACAGAATTTTCCCTTTACATTTCAAAGTAGCTGTATTTTGAAATAACTGAATTCCTTAACATGTAAATTTCTATATCCCTGACTGAGACAGAAATGCAGTTACGAACAAACAAGGATTTCCTGTAAAAGCATTTGATAAGTGAATAAAAAAAATCTGATTTTTTAAAATTTTATTGGTTTTATTCATATATTTTTATTGCTGTTATAAAGTTCATATTTGTGACTGACTTGACTCTAATCTCAACACACACAATTCCATCAGAGTTGTAAGAAATTATTAATCATGTCTTTGATAAACTTTTGTAGTTTTTTTCAAAATAATTAATTTATAAAATAAGGTTCTATTGAAACTGTTCTTTAAAATATAGAAAGTTTAGATATTTTGTATTCAATTTAATCCAAATAATTTAATTCTTTTCTCTAAATAAATCATTAAAAGTGTAATTTTCATAGATATATTAAAACCTATTAATTTCAAATGAAACAATTGTNTATTATTTTTATTATTATTATTATTATTATTATTATTTACAAACTTTTTAATTTGTATTTATAGAATTTATAAATATTTATAAAATAAAAATGATTAAGCTTCATTTAAAGCTTTGATTTAAATAGATAAATTTTTAAAATCTAGTATAATTGCTTTATTTACTTTCAAAATATATTTATCAAATAAATCATGTTATTAAATTTGTTGTTATTATTTATTATTTAGATAATTCAAAGAAATTTAAACTTAATGAAACTCAACATGTAAATCATACAGCTATGATAACTACTTGTGTTATAATGGGAGTAGTGATCTTTATTATTTTTTTTGTAAAAAGGTAAGTTTTTCTTTTAATTATTTAATTATTTCTTTAAAAGTTCAAATAAAAAATATTGCAAATTGCAGATGATAATATCTAAAAAAAAGAGTTGTTACTTAATATCATTGTGAATAAGTTAATATGTAATCTCACCCTTTTAAATATCCTGTGCACAGGCTTGTATACAAACTGAGTTGTGGGCAACATAATCTATGTAGGTTACCAAATAGCCATTAAAAATTTTCAGTAAATTATCTTGGTAATAATTCTATTTTATTGTATTCATCTGCTGTATTAAAACATTCATTTTGATTATTTGCATGTTGTTGTACATACCTGGTTATTAACCATAGTTGTTGTAAATTACATTGCTGTAAATCCTAAAAAAAAAAAAAAAAAAAAAAATAACAGGTGAAAGTGATGGGTCGGACTGTTCGTTTCTTGGTATCTCCTGGAGAAGGTCGGCACGATAGGAATGTTTCAAATGCGTGGATGTACTCCTGTTGGGATCAATGTTATTCTGTATTGGATGATGATAGTATTCCGTATAAGAAGACAGAGTTCTGTATTGGTGTAGGAACGGGTGACAACTTGTTGAGTCATGAAGGAATGGGTGATGACTAATTCATTCGGTCATCAATTTTGATATTAAAATGGTAACACACAGCTGAGAGGTCAGAGGATCATGGAAAAGCGTCTTTTTTGATGCTGAGAACTTGAATATTATACTCCCAGGTGTGAAAGTTGTCAGTTATTTGACAAAGTTATCGTTAAGAAGTTATGTTGTTATTTAGTTACTTAGTTAGTTCAGATTCTCAAACCATGCAGGAATTAAATTTTATTTCATTCCTTGTTCTTAAAAAATACATTAATGAAATCTAATGCCACTAAAACACTTTTAAATCTTTACGGCAAAATTATTTTATTAGTGAATATTTTTGACTGTCCAAGTAGACAATTAAAAATATAAACAAATGGAATAGAATATAAAATGAAATATACAGAATTTGAATTAACTTAAATATAGAACAACAAGGTTGTATGGGATTATAAAAACTGTTATAAATAAAATAAAAAAATAATATAAGAAAGATAAAATGATTATACATGGAGTACAATTAAGAGCTTCATTGCTAAATGAACACAAAGTAACCAATACAAGTACAGTAAAACTTAACTATATTTATAGTATATATTTATAGGCTAATGAAACAAAGAAAAATAAAATTACATGATTTCATTATTAATCAAAACTAGATCTAGTTTAATTAATTGAATTAGAAAATTGTTACAATATGATGAAAATTAAAACCAAACTTAACCAGATATTTTGATTATAATTTGATTTATATTGGAAAGTGTTGCTGTAAATATTTCAATTTGAAGTAAAAATATGTTATTATTTCAATTAACTAAGAAAAAGATAACTGGATGGCCAAGATAATAGTCAGCTTGCTTCCTTAGGGTCTTAGATTTGAATCAGGGTTGGAACTTCAGAAATTTTTGAAAAATTTTACTGTAATATGTCATACTACCTACATCCTTCATCACCCAACCAGCTTTATTGTGGCCTGATCAAATCCAAGATGGATATGAAAAAGTTCCTTTTAATGTTTATAATGCAAAAAGTTAAAACAACTGATTGCACTAATAAATTCAATTTTTTTTTTTTTTCTTTTTTTCCTGTTTTTCTCACCAGTAGTCAAGTAAATAAAATCACTGAATGTAGGTAGTTGGACATGGGTTTTTAATACTATAATATAAACACAGCTCTTTCTGTTCAATCTGTTTAGATAGTTAAATATCTTAATTTAATATATTCATTTCATGTATTTATGATGTAGCTGCTCTGCAATAGTTGTATTGTGTTGAACAATAATGATACATAAATACCTGTTATACATGTGACATAAATATGTATTTTTAAAGTTAAAAAATTGTTTTAATAATTACAACGTTTTAATAAAATCAGATTAGGATAAAGAAACGATCAAAATTGATTTAATTTTTGCAGTATTTTTAAAATGTAAAATCTTTCTAGCAAAGACAACAGATATTTTCTAGATTTATATCTTAAACATTTAACTGGCATAAAATCATATTGGTGTAAATTTTAAAATTTAAATAGCAAAGGAAGTTTATAGGAAGTTTTATAAAACTGTATTTGTAATTTGACTAAAAGTTCCAGAATTATGAAAAATACGCAACTCACAACAGATCTTTTCTTTTTGTCTCTTGGAAAGCTTAATAACTCCAGGTACCAGCAGTAGCAAACAAGAAAACATCTCATGAGTTTTGTGCATTTTTTTATTATCATGAATTTTATGTATAATTATAGATGTTTCAGTAATTTAATGGTTTATTAAATACTTATAATCAAAGATATTATAAGCCAATTTTTAAACTTTTACTACTGTATCATAGATCTAATATAACAAAGGTGATAGGATACAAAATATTGATCTTTATGATAAGCAAGCTTGCATTATACTGTATCAAGTTTATATACAGTCAACCCCCCTATAAGATAGAGATACGTTCCATTCTCTAGGAATCCGATTTCTTACGAATCCTTCCAATCACAACCCGACACGTATCAAGTTTACGGACTACGGCTGTTTGAAAG